GCCAAGAGCCTGCTGCTTTACGTTCCCCAGTCACATTATTGTCATAGACATTCACTCATATTTTACAACTGACGGAAAAAAATAAAAAGAACTCTCATTGGGCACCACTGCATTCATAGCCACACCACCGCATGTTCAAGATGGGAGAGTTAGATTTAAACAATATATCTTTTCACTTGTTTGTGTGTAAGATTTAGGTGAAAGGGAACTATTGGCAGAAACTTAATGTAGAATAATGTTTTCACTAGTTTGTTTCATCTAAATTATATGACTTGTAGTTTTCTTTACCCCAGAAAAGGCCCTTTATATTTAAATACTTTATATTTACATCGAGGGGACCCTCTCTACGGAGGCCGCCATGTTTTTTACATTAGTCCAGACTGGACAAACTAAACAACAATTAAAGGCTACCACAGTTTCTTTTTCGTGTTTGGAAGGAGAGGGTGAGGGGACGGGTGTTCAGCTGCGACATGACACTTCAACACTAGATATCACTAAATTCTACACACTGTACCTTTAACAGAAGCATTTAATATTAGATTTATCCCAAGAAGTTAATTCTCACCAGAGTGTAAAAACCATTCAGACACTAAAACCTTTCAGCAAAACGGTTCAAGTGAATTTAATCTGTCTGTTAACAAGAGACAGAGTAATTAAAGGAAGAATTCAACATTTTTCTGGAAACTGCAGGAACAAAGATTGTTTATAAAGACGGATGACATGTCTCCACTTCCTCACACTGCCGAGAAATGAAGCCAAAATTGTGTCATTTGGAGCCGGGGGACGGAGCCGATCCTTGGTCGTGCTGATACACATGCCTGTCAATCATGACGTTTCACTCCGTTTTATTAAATTCAAAATGTATTAAAATCCAAACGGAAAAATAACACTTAAACAAATATCACTGAGATAAAAACTCTGTAAAATGGCAGAAACCATCTTCATTTGATTATTTCTTACTTTGGTCCACGTCCCATCCACTAACATAGAGGAGGCAGGGATTATGACCTATACTGCAGCCAGCCACAAGGAGTGATCAAGACACTTTGGGAGCTGTCAGGTCATCCATCTTTAAATACAGCATAGGTTCAGGGACCCTATCCGAGAAATGGTCGAGCACATAAAGATTCTGAATTTGTGTTTTCCGATTAAAAAAATGATTAAATATAACATTTTAAATTTTGAGTTTTAAAGGAGCTGCAAACCTAGAAATCAAACAAAATGTATTTCATCTGTGTGCTAGAGACAATTATATTAAACTTATATTATATTCTTTTATACAAACACAATATAACAACCTAACTATACTTAATATTAGTGAAGTGATGAAAATATCTAAATTTAAAGTTTGAGTTGGTGCAAGTAAACATCAAACCAGAAACGTTCTTATCTCCTGAGATGTAAACCTGAGCAGGAGAGTGGGATGTTAACCTAAATACCCTGTTTGCTCATGTCGGCTGAAACATCTGTGTCTGTTGTATGAAGCTGCAGAACAAAATTAAAACCAAACATGACCTTTGTTTGCTGTAGCAGCAGGAATAAAGCTGCCGTTCAGACCTGGAATTAAGCTGGTATTACCTATTTGAACAAAACAGGAAGTCAACAAATGGCAGTCAGTGTTAATATTGTGGCTACAAATAAATTATAAGATGGGAAACAAAACAAAATAGTTTCCCCTCTGAAGGTGGTCGGATCTCAGACACATCCTCAATGAGTCTTGAGTGTGTTCACATGTGAGATGTCCACTTCAGATAGGATCTCTCAGGATTGATGTTAACACCAACAGACCAAGTCCTAAATAACATTTGTATTTATTAGTTTTGTATATCTATTTATGTGAAATAGTTTTATCTATGTTTTTATGTATGAAATACCCAATTTTGGATATTGTAGTTTTGTCACACAATCAGTTGTGTTGCAGCAATTCAGATCTTCACTTCAGGATCTGGGTGAGTGTGTGTGTGTGTGTGTGTGTGTGAGTGTGTGAGTGTGTGTGTGAGAGTGCCAGTGTGTGTACGCAGACACAACTCACTGTGCCCATTTCAACTGATTACAGAAAAAGCACAGCACAAGGGACAAGATAACAGAATTCTCACTCACTCACTCACTCACACACTCTCACACACTCTCACACACACACTCACACACACACACAGCAGTCGTTGTGTCTCCTCTGTATCTTTATCAACCACCTCAGATGTGTTTATCATGACAGGACGTCAGACTGCTTGTCTCTTGCTGCTGTTCTCCATCATTTCTAAACGTCCCCCTCTCCGAGCGCTTCATGTGATCAGGATGAAAATGTTTTGTTCTACAGGTTTATCGAAATGATTATACCGGGTGAATGAAAACGGAACCACTGTGTTGATAATAATAACCTCAAAATAAATAAATACCAATCTGAAAAGCTGATTATTTGTAAAATATCTTGAAATACTTGGATTGATCTGAATTATTTGAAAGAAATATTATTTATTGACATTATGCTCAAGATTCTTACTTTAAAAATAACTGTCACCATCTTGCTAAAAGCATTTATCTCTACAACGTGACCTTTTCGTGGGTTTTCAGCTTTTAAACTCAGCCTAGGAGCGTTTTAATGGTTTGTGCTCTTAGTTTAAGGAGGAAAATAGTTTCCTAACCCATGAGGGGACATGGTTGCATCTGGCATTTTTGTGGCTCCAGCCATTAAAACTAATCAGCTTATGTAACATGCCTATACAAGCTAGTTTGGTGCAGGCAGACCTACAATTATGACGAAGAGACCCCAAAATAAAAAAAATCTACATTCACACAGGAAATGTGTTCAAGTTCTGCCAGAGATGAGACTTTTTAGGAAATGAACAGTTGATACTGAATAAAAAATTCCGCACGGGCGAGGGAAAGTAAAAATAAACTGTAATTGAAGATGTTTGGCTGCTATATAAATGTCTCGTCATGATACTGACCGATGCACTTATTTTCTGAACATCTGATGAAATGCTACAGATGTTCTTGGGTGGTATAGACGAATGGAAGTGGAATTTCGACTTCAAACATGGGGGAACGTTTGGAAGTATGCAGCTGCAATCAGTGGCCAGTACCACAATGTTGCTGTAAATTACAATATTACGTTACTGCCCGACCATCGTTTGGAAAAAATCCTCTCAATGCTCAATATGAGACCGAGAGCGAGTAACCTGTGGTTTATGGACCATGAGGCCACAAGGAAACTTTGATCTTTTTCCCCCCCTTCCTTCCAAAAGGAGTGATTTCAACACATGAACACACGCTGATGATAACATACTGTTAACATGGCTCCAACCTGAAGTGAAAGCTCAAATGTCAGGTTACAGCAGGAGCCTGTTTGTCTCCAGGTTTTTCTTTTCGGCAGAACATCTGTTTCACACGATCGGCCAGATCGCTGGTGTGAAAAGCAACTGTTTGCCTCCAGACAACATCCAGGAGTGACAACTGATGCAGAAAACGAGATGAATCCACTCAACCGCTCAACAACCTCTGGATGCATTGATTTGAACTTTTATGCAGAAAATCTTTTGCAACGTTTATGAGGTTCAATTTCTTCATGAGTTCGATTCAAGGAGCAGAAACAAAAGATATAATTCCATTAGATGAGCTTTGTGCCTTTTCAATCATACGTGCCACAAACTACTTTCCTCTTATTCTGGTTTAACAGGAGCCTGTTTTAGTGTGAACATGGAACTTTATAGTTAATTAAAGCCACCATGACCAGTGAGCCGGATCGAGCCAGATATACAGTACATTGAATTGCAGCCAATTTTCAGCTTTAATATTTTAGTGTAAAAAAACTGGCACCATCGCCAGCTTCAAATTCCCACTCGTTAAATATTTCAGGTTATGAGACAATATTCTCAACAGCTTGAAATTAACTTGTGTTAATTAGCATGTTACCTAATTTTAAAATGATGAACCTGGTAAACATCACAGGCTGATAATCCATCTTGTAGTATTGTCACTGTGAACATGTTAGCGTGCTGATTCAGGCCGCAGAATGTCTTCTTGTAAAACAGGAGAGAACATGTATTCTTCTCGTGTCGCCGGCGCCAGAAAACAGCCAGAGCTACATTTACATACAAGCTGCGACATTTCGTCCCGACTGTGTGAAAATGTCGTAAGTCAGAAAGCAGCAGCTGTAGGCAGCCAGCGCGGTAAAAATCCCTGAATACTCAATGACCATTAGGAGGTCTTGACCTTCCAGTAAATGTGTCACGGTGATAAACGGCTGCTGTGACGGACACTTGAGTTATTGGCAAGACTCTTTCAGTTTGGTTAAAAAGTCACAATTGTTCTGATGCACCAGTCAAATCTAAACGTTAGAATTTAGTTTAGAGAATTTTTATGAAGCGATATCTATCAGAGCTTTTTTAGGGACAAGGGTAACGCAAGACTGAGATGTTGTTTCGTAAGAAGATAAGGTCAGCCGTGTGGGACGACAGAAGTGTTTGCCTCTGGTAACACGATCTCAATAACACAGAGAGGCTTCAGAAACAATAACACAACAACTAAGCTGCAATAAAAGTTTTTCGTACAATTCCAAGAAGAAGAGATTTTCTGTTGCAGGAGTGACGGGCAGATTTCTTGAACTCTGATGGACGTGACCCAGCTGGTCAGCACAGAGAGGGGAGTCATTTGTTCGTAAATATGGCCGATAAAATCAGTCTGCTGCTGCTGTTGTGCAGGACCAGGTACGCACTTCAGACAAGGCCAGGCACATACCTGGAGGCTGGAATTTTATCAGAAGCATATTTACCACTATTTCATGTCAGACCGTGATGACAGACAGGCCGGGAGTTCGTCTGATCACTAAACGCCTACAAAGTGCAAAGGGATTTTTCTTTTTTCCCCCCAATTCTCTGAAAAGAATAATATTTGCTCCAGTTGCTTCGTTTTCTGGATCATAATAAGTAATTAAATTAATTTTAAGACTTGGTTTTCAGTGAATGAGCTTGACAATGGATTTAAAAATACTTTAAAAAACAGACATTAAAATATCTTTTATTGCCTTTGTGGTTTCTGATGAACAATATCTCACTGAAAACAAAACTATAAAATTCTCCATATTCAACAGTTTACACAAAATATGACGACTTGTGGGCAGAAACATAAAACGGTACAATATTACAATAACCCTCTTTAATAATACCAAATATATATGAAGCTGATTTTCATTGTTTTGTTCAGAACACATGTAAAGTGTAATTCAAGCTACACGAGACTGAACGGTCTGAATGCATCAAGTATCTCAAGAGAACTGAGATGAGACAAACTTCCAAATCGAAGATCCTCACTCCCTTCGTCAGAATCTTTACTTTTTTTTTTTTTTAACGCAGACCCTGGTTGTGATTTAACCACTTAAACCAAAGTGCAATAGAATTCATCTTTACCGTGAAGGGAGTGGATACTAAATTAGCTTAAGGACGCCACCTTGTGCCCATAAGCAGGAAGCACAATATAAAATCAAAAGGTCTTTTTTTTACATTGATGACATTTTGACACATCACAGCAGGCAAACAAACAAATAATAAAATGAATGGTGGATGATTTCAATTTTTGGTTTCAATGCCCTGGTATTATGAAGACAGACTCACAGTCACACTGTCGAAACAAAACACTCATTATTAATGTCGTTAATATCAACTCGGCACGTCCTCCTGTGACAAGTCGACATGTCTGCAGCGGAAAAAGGACTAAATCGACATATTTACAGTCATTTCAGTCACATTTCTAAAGGAAGGTCACTGCATTAACACAACACAAGCACAGTCAGAGTTCAGTGGTGGATACTCTGCATATAATACAAGACAACTCACAGGCAAAGTAAACCACCACAGCAACGTCATTAAGTCATTAAATAGCAGAGACACAAAGTCTACATGACCACACTGAATGTTTATTGGATCGCAGCAGGATGGCTGCACCCGTCATTTAGAGGAAAACTGAGGTGTTTTACTTCTGGCATTTCCATTTGGGACAAGAGCAAAAAATTACACGAGACGCATTTCACCCTGTGATGTAAACTAAATATTCTATAGTAAAGCGAAGGTGGAGGCAAAACGTAAAGATGTATGTGATGATTTCCCTTAATTCTGCATAATCTTCTAAAATTCTCCGGAGGGGCTGAATGCAAGAACATGAATGTCCGAGTCAGTAGCTGCGGAAATTCTCTGGAGTTTCTCCTGCCAGCCGCCCCCGAGTTCAAGCCTCGAAAACGAGAGGTCGTACTTGAGACGTCAGCTTGCAAAGACGCCAGGATCAAAAGCTTTTGGTGATAAGGGCTGACTCTGAAGTAAACAAAAAAAACACAATCTCTACTGCGGAAAGTTTACATTACGTCCAGCCTCCTGCTGCGCCACCCCTCCCCGAAACCCTCCAGAGATTTTCCTGCTATAGTGAACGTGACTGACGGCAGAATCTCCTGCTGCTTTGTTTGTGTCTGAAAGGTAAACTCAGAAGAAAGTCCGGACCCACTTGTGCGGACAGTTTCTGGAGTTCTCGTCTGAAAGCGGCTCCAGTGTCTCTGGGAGAGAGCCGGGAAGTAAACTCTCGTCAAAAATTTAAAAAACGTCAGTAAAACACCTGAATTTTCCTTAAAATGTTGGAAAACAGTTACAGGGATTTACCATAATCTAAGATCTTAGGTTGAGATTTTTGCAGTGAGACTTTCCTCAACTCTTGTTTATCCTAATATCCCACTGATATAAAGCTTTTCCTTCAAATGAGCTGGCACACATTTGAAAACAAAACAAATACTATCATATTGCAAAATAGCCAAACGTTCGCTTCCTACTCGACCACTTTGCTAATGTTGGTGAATGTTCTCTGCAGAGATAAAATCTTTAAATTAGAATACGGTGCCTTGTTGCCGGAGGGTTCAGGCCTCAGTCTACATTTTGCCTGAGGATCCGTTTCTCTTCCTCTACGAAGTTCTTGTCTGAGGTGGCCTGACCCATGTCCCTCTTCCTCTTCTCCTTCTGCTGGAAGGTCTCCACTCGCCGCTTCTTGGCAGAGACGGCTGCTTGGTCTGATTCGTCGTCTTAAAATCAGAGGGGTCAGTGGTAGTTGGTTGGATGATTTTGGTGGAAGCATTAGGGGAGAGTGGAAAATAATGTTTTTTTTAATAACTTGACAGAGCACTATTTAAAAATAAAAAAGGATAATGGCAACAGAGGAGGCACAGGTCTTGTTTTGGGGATTTCTTTGGTTTGTGTTTGGTAATTTTGTGGCACCCAACATCTATTTTCCACCAAGACGGGTGGAGGAGTGATGTGGAAGTTGTGTTTTGCTTTTGCTACCTTTCAAGTCATACTGAGGTATGAGTTGGCAAAGGGCACAACCACAGACCTCTCTAAGATATAAATCACCAAGGAGCGATGGTGTAGCGTCATATTATCAAAGACCTGGTGTGATAACATCTGAGAGAACAAAGTGTTGATTTCACCAGATGTAATTCTGACATGTGAGTGTGAAACCCTCTGCTGTCATTGCTCTGCAGGACTCACCTGAGTCTGATGGTTGCTCCTCTGTTGGTAAGAACTGGGCGTTGCCGGTGAAAGGCTGAGGCGCGTCTTCCCCGTTGTCTTCGTACACGTTGGACCACTTTATGGCCATGTCCATTCCTGGAGGAGGTCCCTTCTTCTTCTCTGGTTCTGCAGCGTAGCTCTCAGGAGGCGGCACAGCGTTTGTCTTCCATGGCTTGAACTGTCTGGCAGGCTTCAGGTAACCGAGGAGAAGAAATAATGTGGAAAGAAAAGGTTCAGGAAAGCTACAAACCAACAAATGAGCTGCAACCACCTTAGTCTTTAATGGAGGGACATTCTCAAGTAAACATGCAGCATTGCTGAGTTTACATATACAGTATATTTCAAATCCTATTGATCCTAACCTGCTCATTACAATATAGACAATAACACATTGGTCATAGCTGACACTCAAGTACTCAAAAAGTACTTCTTCAAACGTCGGATAACTACTGAAATAAAAACACAACATGGCTCCATACGGCTGCTGTGATGTCACCAAAGTGTCCGGATGCCCCGACATTCAAATTCAACTTGAAACGAGGTCATTCACTCCAAGTTTTTAGCCTAAAACTACAAAAAATACATTTTCTTTTTTACATTAGTCACCAATTACTTCACTTCTATTGGATTTGGCGGCAACGCTGTTCACCTCTGAAACTCCAGAAGTGTTTTGCGGACTCACACACATAGTGGTGAGTAGATGATGAGTGAATTTTCATTTTTCAGTGAACTATCTTTAATTAAGGAGCAAATAGTGGGGGGGGGGACAGGGGGGGGCCAGCAGCAGCTGTTTGCCCCTGGCCCCCCTCTATCCGGCCATGATGGTAATTGTGCAGGTGGAGAAGAATCAATCATGATGGAAGTTCTCAATATATTCATGATCATTGTTATAATTGTTATTGTGAGCAGCTGTGAGGAGACTCGCGGGTCTGCTGACTTTGACTCACCTCCTCCGGGGCTTTGACGCTCAGACTCTCCCAGTCGATCTGCTTGTTCAGCGGGTTGTAGAGGAACGCGGGTTTGGACACGGACCGGAACAGCTCGTCGGGTTTGGGGAGAGGAGCTCCGCCGGCCGCTCCTCTGCTGCCACCGTGCTGCGAAGACTCGGCTTCCCCTCCCGGAGCCTCGGTCCCCGGCTTCTTCTTCCGCCCGCCCCGCTCCTCCTCGTCCGAGTCGCTGCTGTCGCTCAGGTCATCGTAGCTGGAAAAGAAGCCCAGAGAGCCGGAGGTCTTCTCCTCCGACATGACGCCGAGGTTGGTTGTTCCGCGGAGAGTCGAGCTGGGTCACGATGAAAACGACGTGAAGGAGAAAACAGGCTGATTCTGAGGAGGTGGTGCCGCAGGATTTTACTCCATTTTGAATCAGCCTCCCAAACAGTCGTAAAGCACAGGGAGAGTGTCGCGACGACTGTCGTAAAGACTTTTATCATAGGAGCAGGCCGAGTAAATACCATCATTTCAAACACCACACTACTGCAACTACTACAACAAAGGTACTACTACTACAACTACTATTACTCTTACTACTACTACTAATACCACTACCATAACTATAGCTACTACTTCTACTACAATCGCCACTATTACTACTACTACTACCACTACTTCTACTATTACTTCTACTTCTACTACTACCGCCACTACTACTTCTTCTACTACTGCAACTACTACAACAAAGGTACTACTACTACAACTACTATTACTCTTACTACTACTACTTCTACTATAACTATAGCTACTACTTCTACTACTATCGCCACTACTACTACTACTACTTCTACTATTACTTCTACTACTACCGCCACTACTACTACTACCATTAATTCTACTCTTACTATTACTACTACTAATACTACTACTTCTACTATAACTATTACTTCTACTTCTACTACTACCGCCACTACAACTTCTTCTACTACCACAACTACTACTACTACTACTACTACTACTACCACTACTTCCACTACTACCACTACTATTACTTTTACTATTACTACTACTATTACTTTTACTATTACTACTACTAATACCACTACTTCTATATAACTATAAGCTATTGATGCAACCTAATGATGTTTTCAAAGCCTGCCATGTCTACGCAGATATTATCTCTGTGTGCACAACTTGTTTATCTTGAGCGCACCAGAGATATATATATATATATATATATATATATATGTATATATATATATATCTTCTTCCCTCTAGATAATTATCTAGATAATCATGATATGTAGAATAGATTACGATACTCATAACAGATTGGTCTTCAGTGGAAAAGGAGAGAGGTTGAGTGTAGTGTGAGTGCATCTATGAATGGTATAGACACAAAAGATTTCTGGAGTGAGCCCTGTCCCTCTGCTGAGCCATGAGGACCTGATGTCCCCACATTCTCTGTAGTGTTCATGGTTTATTGTGCTGTGGCTCAGTGTACCAGTGCGTTCATCGGCTTGTGGATCATTTGGACACAAAGGAATGTTTGGAGTTTTTGGAAGACGCCCAAAGAAACAAGTGTATGTACAACCTATGACCACTAGAGTGCAATGTGGTATTACCAGTGAAAATAAAGAGGTGCCCAGAGGAAGTGATATGAAAAAAAAAGCTTGAGTGAAAACAAACAGGTTGGCAATTTTACTGCACATTTATAAACTTAATTTCTTTTCATAGCAAATAAATAGTCTCTAACAGAACATGTTGTTCTCTTATAGATTCATAGGATTCAAAGTTTGTTTCTATATCGCAAACAGACCGACCACCTTAGCGACCCTCTGCTCATTCCTGCCGCATCATGAATTCCCGATAATTAAAAGCCTCTCTTGTTTTTCTCATTCAGACTGAGCAGGACCAGCCTTCGCCCTCACACGCAGGTCAAACACCTACTAAAATTCACTGAAACATAACTCTACCAAATATGCTGCTCAAAATTTCTCTGTGCACGCGCAATAATAGCAATGCAGGTGCTCTAAAGAAGGTGCTTTTGCATTTTTTGGGCGAACGTGAGGTCAAATCTGTGCAGAGATTTACTGGAAGTCCAGTCTGAACAGATCCTGAGGGCGAAGGTAAAGTTCATGTGCAAGTGAAAAAAATGTGGGGCGAAGACACATCTTTTTGTTGAGGCTGGTCGTTCTGCGTCTTCTTCTTTGGCGTCAGCTCGTCCTCTTCATGATTAATCATAGGCTAATTGCAGAATCACCATCTCCAGCAGCTGCAGTAGTTATAGTAGAAACAGGAATTTAAAAAATAGTTTAAAAAGTGGGCCCTCAAGTAAACTAGGACAAGCTGGTGTTGCTCTGTAGTTTTGAAAGATTGCTGACTGGCTGATTATACCTTTCTGCTTTTAAAAAGACATAAATTATGGGGACATAAGTTTGTGTAAAACAGGGACGTGTGTGACTGGTGGGACGTATTTCATGTTATTACAACCCATAGTTATTGCCAGTGGAGTTTTTGCTCTGGTCACTGCACGTCAAGCAGAAAGGCCGACAGGATAGTCTTGTTTTGACAGGGAGAACTCTGCTTCTTGTGCAAATGGTAAAGAAAAGAGTGATTTGTTTCACACTGTCTTGTTGTTGATCTTCTTTGTCAACAGAAGCCGCAGAATCAATGAATCCTTTTAAATTTTAAATTCCTTCTACAAAGCCTGCAGCGTTTTAAAAAAGACGTGACCTCCGTGGTACCAAACCATCAGAGGTGGTTCTCTTTCTGCCCTCGCTGCATTTGATTTCGTTTAGTATTGTTGGCGAAACTAATCAAAAAGACATCCAACTTTTTTTGGAAATCCGTTTTGTATATTTTGTGTAATCTTGCTCACAAACAAACCAACCAACAGACAGACAGGGGTGAAAACACAAACTCCATGAACTCCATATTGTATGAACATTTCAGATACAATAATAACAGTTATATTAAGTTGGAAAAATGAGGCCATGAAATCCAGATACAATTAAATAGTTGAGTCAGCTTCAATCAGCAATTCGTATCTGTTTAAACAAATATATGAAAAGAAATCAAATAAATTGTTAAATAAAAGCATTATCTTCTCATATTTAATATTTATACTTCTTAAAACAAGTCAAAAAAATCTGCTAATGTGCTAAAGTAACTCAATTTCTCCTCAATTTCTATCGTTTCATCCAAATGAACCAGGATGTGTGCAAAAATTTAAACAAGTGATTTTTTTTTTGCTTTAGTCAGCTCTTTTGTTGGACTGCAGGAGAGTTTCCTCTTGTATATTTTTCTTTATGTACACAGCCTTACACTGACAGATATACTATTGACTAATAATCTGCATGGATAGCTCAAGGCTCCTTTTCCTCCCTTAGGAGCTGAGGAGTTTCTGACTGATGCATGTTGTTTTTCTAATCATCTCCTGGGTTCTGGGCTGCTTCATAAATGAAACAGAAGTTGACTCTTCCCTCGACTTCACTTCGGTTTCTTCGATCTCCGCAGAGTTCGACGCTGGTGTGAGAAATTCCCCATGGAGACAAAAAGCCACACCTCTCCACGTCTCTGTTTAATCTTCTGTAGCTGCTCATGATATCTCAGAAGTCTTTATTTCGTGCTCGGGCCTCAGCTCAGATAAGAGCACATCTGTGACAATGCATGTAGCAGCGGGTGTTTCACTCATGTTTTAGAAGCGATGGTGGATGTTTGTCTCTCTCTCTTTTTGTTGTTCTTGTTTTCCTACCTCATGAAGATAAATGTAGTGTTTCTTAGCGTTTTGGATCCTAATTGTACAAATCCTGTTTACAATTGACATAATTAAACACATGTTCATGATCGTGAAGTTGCCAAAGAACACCTGCAGGATGAAAAAAGAAGTGGTTTGGTTATGTACTCATAAAACACAGATGGATGTCATGTTTTTTTTTAACCAACAGACAACGATGTGGCTGAGGCATCTTCCTGACTCTGTGTTTCAGCCTCTTCTGGTAAAATCCAGCTGTTGTCACAGACATCTTCTTTCATTTCTGCCTCTTTTTATCTGTGATTGGTTAAACGCTCAATAAGAGAAAATGAAGACTGGAAGTTTAATATTTTTACTCAGTTAACACTGTCTGCTTTAGTGTTTGTCAAATAATATGAGTTTAAACTTAATGTTGAAGCTGTTATAACCGAGTCAAACTCTGGCTGATGCTTTGCAAAACCATTATATACAGGGATTCAGTGTTTTCAATCTGGACATTTTAGAGAAAAGCGTAAATATGCATACAGACTGCCCTCTACTGGTTGAAACCCTCCTATTGCAAGTGAATTTTGCCACTGGTTGATCTGGAAGCAGCTTACGTCACCAACCACCTCCTCATCGAATATAAACCCACGTCTCAAACTCTGCAGATTGTGGAGAGTGAAGTTTGCATGGATAGAGTTACATTACCGCTCAGAGACTGCATCCACCCTCTCCTGCACTTGTAATGCCTCAGCTATGAGAGCTCCGCTTTCAATCAATCAACCAATCAACCAACCGATCAACCGATCAACCAACCAACCAACCAATGAAACAACCATTTAAACGACCAAACAACCAACTCACCTCCCAACCAACCAAACAACCGATTAAACGACCTACAACCAACCAAACAACCAGCCAATTAATCAAACTCACCTTATTTATTTAGCACCTTTCATACAATGTTACAATTTATGAATAAAATTATAATTAACTAAATTGAAATAAAGCCATAGTTTCTGACTGTATAATGTGATGCAGCTGGAGCTGTAAGAATTAAAAACTCATGTTAAATACAGCGTAGTGTTTTATTCTTCCACAGCATTCAGCAATAAAATATAATGGTAACAATTAAAAGATCAAACTCAAAGCAGCACCTGTGGAAATAATACATTCATCCTCACGTCCTCTCCCTGCATTAATCAGTATCTTTAATTTCTCAGTTTTTCCATTTGTCTTTCCATTTGAATTCAACACTAATATGACGAAGTGTAAAAGAGATGGAAATAACATGTAGTATCATGACCGCTCTTTTTCCTGAAAGAGAAAAAAAGAGCTGTTGGAAGTGAAGAGGCGACATTCATGTCAAAACATGTGCTTTATAAATATACACGCTGAGTGCACATGTAAAATGTTTCTATCTCTGTTCTTAAAAACTGTGTTGCCCTCTCTTCTCTTCCTCGGTTCTGCTTTTCTTCCTCCTGTTTTTGGATCCACAGCTTCTTTCTGGCACGTGCACTCGTATCCTCCACCACCATGTTTCCTCTGGTCATCTAACACTACGATTTCAAACCTGAGAGATGGCATTCTTTGGCTCATTACATTAACTCCGGGCTCTGTTTGCAGTGCGGCCTGTCTGGGCTCGTGGCTGGAGGCCAGAAAGGGATCCAACCGACTGGTGTGGCAAGAGAAAGTAAGGGGAAAAAAAAGTGGGGTGCTGCAGGGAGGTGTGTGCGATGAAGGTGAAAAGAACA